AAAAAAAAAAAAAAAAAAAAGATCAATCAATCATCAAACCAAAAAGCATGGCAAGAACAAGGATAATGCCGTCTCGAGTAGTTTAAAGCCCACTGATTGGTTATCGGTGTCTGAACTCCAGTCGATGCAGTCAGCTGAGGATTTCACTATGCAGCAGTTGGAGAACATGTCAGTGGAGGAAGGCGAACGAGAAATTCAGAAAATTTATCACCTCTCACAAATTAACCACGCGTTGGAACCATCATTTGTGCCAAGTCCCAGTAATGTGCCAGTTCTCTTGATGAAACCCAATGGTCAACCCGAACAAACCACTTTGAATGAGATGGTCGACGCTGCCAAGAAACAGCCCAGCTTTGGCAATGAGGAAGTTACCATTTTCATCACTGGCTTGCCCCAGACCAGCCCTGCAGTCGCAAAGGCAAACCAAAACTGATGTGCGTCAATCCGCACTCATAGGGCCAGTAAGCGAATTTTCGCTCGTGGCAAAAATATTTTTTTTATATACATATACAATACATTTCTTAAGTTACTTTCAATCTTACTTTTTAAAAAAAAAAAAAAAATTTTTTATGACTTTTTTTTTTAAATATTAAGCCAAAATTTTATCAATAAAAATAAATAAATGTTAATTAAAAATTTACTAAAATAAGAATTAATTAAAAAAAAAAGAGGGTTATAGTTACATACAATTTTTAAAAAACTTATATGATAGGAGACAATTAGAAAAATTTAAAACTACAAGAAATTATACAAACTCCCACAATGACACAGACAGTAGTAGAATTTATAAATACAGCAACAAAGCTTATACCTGATTTTGATGGCAAATCAGAAAATTTACGTTCATTCCTTGACGCACTAACTCTGGTTGATGCGATAAAAGGCGAACATGAGGCAATAGCCATTTCCTTAATTAAGACCAAACTTAAAGGAAATTCGAGAAATTTGATTGACAATGAAAATACAATTGCGGAAATCAGTACCAAACTACGCACCACCGTAAAAGGTGAGTCAGTAGAAGTAGTGACTGCAAAACTTATGAATATAAGACAAAGTAGCAAAACTGCTACAAATTACTGCAATGAAATAGAAACACTAACAAAATCATTAGAAAATGCATATATAAATGACGGCATAAACTTAAATTTGGCAAGTAAATATGCGACACAAGCAGCCGTAAGGGCAATAACTAAAAATTGCACATTAGAAAAAGTCAAACTTATTATGGAAGCAGGTCAGTTTACTGACATGAATGAAGTAATAAGCAAATTTGTTGGAAGTTGTACAGAAGCTACAGGCCAACAAAATACCATTTTGCACTACCGACAAAGACAATTTGGCAACAGATTCCAAAACAATAGAAATTTTGGAAGAAGGTTTCAAAATAGACCCAATGTTCAAAGAAACCACAATGGCCAAAACAGCAATTATAGTGGAAATAACTATAATAATAGAGGTCAAAACAGAAATACCTACCGAGGTAATACAAGGAATATTAGAATGACCCAAACAGACAACAATAGTTCGGAAAACCCGGACATTCCCCTAAGATAAACTCGGACTACAAAATATACAATCTTAACCTTAACTTTAGCATTTACATACAAGTCAGAATTGCTCACACTAACACCGCCATAACACTACTAGTTGACACAGGAGCAGACATTTCCATAATTAAACATGACCAAGATACACTTAAACACATAAACAAAAAACACATTACAACACTACAAGGCATTGGACAAGGAAAAATCAATTCAATAGGCACAACATGTTTCGATTTAAAGTTTAAAAATTACTTAATACCACACGAGTTTCATGTAGTACAAAACGATTTCCCAATACCGTGTGATGGCATTATTGGAATGGACTTTATGAAAAAACACAATTGTCTACTTGAATTCAATGAGAATCAAGATTTCCTAACCCTCAGACCAGACAAATTCCAAATGCACATTGAAATACCAATTATAACTACTTGTAACGATGACATAACACTCCCAGCTATGTCAGAAGTTATAAGAAGGGTGAAACTTTCTACTCCTTTTCAAGAAGTACTGATACCTAATCAAGAAATACAAACAGGTATATTCATTGCAAGTACCTTGGTAAAATCTGAAAATGCATTCATACGAATTCTTAATACAAATGACAGACCAGTAACGGTAAAACTAAACAGAATTCAATCAGAAAATCTCACTGACTATAACATAATTTCAAGTGATCAAAACAAAACAGAAAGAAAAAATAAAATTTTAGATACACTAAAGAAAAATTTTCCAAAACTATTTGAAAAAACGTTAACGGAATTATGTTCTAGGTACAGCGATATTTTTGGATTAGAAACAGAAGCAATCACATCAAACAATTTTTACACACAAAAGTTAAGGACAAAAGATACAGACCCAGTATACATTAAGAACTACCGTATACCACACACTCACAAAGAAGAAATTGAAAGACAAGTCTCAAAAATGTTAAAAGATGGAATAATAGAGCCATCATGTTCCGAATATAATAGTCCTATTTTATTAGTTCAGAAAAAATCACTTCCAAATTCAATTGAAAAAAGATGGAGGTTAGTAATAGATTACAGGCAGATTAACAAAAAATGAATAGCGGATAAATTCCCACTGCCAAGAATAGATGACATCCTAGACCAATTAGGTCGAGCTAAATATTTTTCTTGTTTGGATCTTATGTCAGGATTCCATCAAATACCACTAGAAACAAATTCACGAGACCTGACATCCTTTTCTACAAATAATGGATCCTACAGGTTTTCTAGACTCCCATACGGATTAAAAATTGCCCCTAATTCATTTCAAAGAAAGATGACAATTGCGTTTAGCGGTTTAAAACCAGAACAAGAATTTCTCTATATGGACGACCTGGTAGTCCTGGGTTGCTCTGAGAAACACATGCTATCAAACCTATCGGATGTTTTTGAACTATGTCGCAAGCACAACTTAAAATTACATCCTGAAAAATGTTCATTTTTTATGCGCGAGGTGACTTATTTAGGACATAAGTGCACTGACAAAGGCATACTCCCCGACGACAAAAAATTTTCAGTAATTAAAAATTACCCTATACCTACAGATGCAGATAGTGCGAAAAGATTTGTAGCATTCTATAACTACTACAGGAGGTTTATAAAAAATTTCTCTGAATACTCAAGACATCTCACTAGATTGTCAAAGAAAGGAGTACCTTTTCAGTGGACACTAGAATGTAATAATGCTTTCGAGCACCTTAAAAAGGCATTGATAAGTCCTACATTGTTACAGTACCCAGATTTCAGTAAACAATTTTGTATAACTACTGACGCAAGCAAACACGCATGTGGTGCTGTACTAACACAAGAATATGAGGGAAAACAATTGCCGGTGGCATATGCATCTAGAACTTTCACAAAAGGAGAAAGCAATAAGTCAACAATTGAACAAGAATTAACCGCCATACATTGGGCAATAACATATTTTAAACCATACATTTACGGAACAAATTTTCTGGTAAGATCAGATCATAGGCCACTATCTTACCTATTTTCAATGAAAAACCCTAGCTCAGAACTAACTAGAATGAGACTTGATCTTGAAGAATATGACTTTGTGGTAGAGTACCTTAGGGGAAAAGACAACTATGTTGCGGATGCATTATCACGCACTACAATTGACGATTTAAAAGATATAAATGTAAATAACACTTTATACAAAATGCAAACAAGATCTATGACAAACAAAAGTTCTCTTAATCAAAACACAATTAAAACGCATCAATCTAATACATATGATAAGCCCAGTATATATGTACCTATTAATAACACTGACGTGAGAAAATACTATAAATTAAAGATTACACCCAA